CAGTAATGAAGTAAAAAGTTTAAATATCAATGCCAAATATACTCTATTTTCGCATTCCTATGCAAAATTTTAAGCCACTTACACATTTCTAAACTCCAAATGTAAGCAACACACACTTCACATTTGGAAAACAGCAAATAATACTCATAATAATAAGGTTAACACTCAAGATATTCCATTAAGTTTCACAATATCCTGATATCATTTAAGTGCATTTAAAATGCCAAATAAAACATTCCATTTCAATGTATCAAATATAATACAGTAAGGTAGAAGCTATGCTTCACTCCAATATCACATTCCGTATGCCAGGATCATAGAGGAAAACTGAGGCATATCATATAAGATACACTGGGAGCAAAGAGGCAAAACTGTCAAGTTGGTGACTTAAAACTGCACACAAAGCATCATTGAAACAAGTAAGCATGAACTTCTGGTGCTCTTAAAAGTATAATTGATATATAAATAAGATAATACATATAGGACCACTAAAATAAGAAAATACAGAGACCGCACAAAACATAAGGTACTAAGTATGATACATGTAATTACATAATCTGAATATTAAGAATGGCTTTCGACCTTTCGCTGTAAATTGGGTTGTTATAATAGTAATCGCAGATTTTTAAGGCAGAATTATGAAAGGGCTCCCATGAAACTTATAAGCCAGTGTCCTTAACTGACCAGTTTTTAGTTCCTCATGAACAAGACTGTTTTTGACATACTAGGGAAGTCTGTGATCTGCCGCAGGGCATTTTTCTGGGTCGTTAACAGTTTCTTCGAATTATTTTTACATGAACAAGCCCAGAATGGATTTACATAACAGAACATGGGATGCAGGATGAATTTATAAATTTATTTCTTGAAGAAACAGGATAGCCACCTGCTCTTGGAAAAAAGTCATTAAATCCACTGCAGGGGGGAGAACTACTAGGGTGGTTAGATTAAAACCACAGTTGAGCTAAAGGTTCATAACCAAGAAAGAATCCAAATCAAACTGGGGCCACCTGGCACCGAGAAAATACACCAGAACAAAGGAGCACCAAGTGCTATGGCTGAAAAAGTACCAAAAGCAGAATATTTAAAGATGATTAATAGTTTTAGTATCAAGGATCTCACAATGAATTAGTGCAGTACACAGTAGGAGATCCAGAATCATCAGACTTCAGCAATTGGATATCTTAGAAACTTTCAAATTTTAGATCATCTGTTTAAATTTAATAAGATGACATATCGGCAATGTAGCATTGTGTCTTTGCTTATTGTTCATATCAGATAGAAGAATGAGTGGAAGAATTCTAAAGCAATGGAGATTTTAGAATTTAACATCAATTAGAAAAAAATAGTAATAGTAAAATTTTAAGAATCTGAAAGAGGTACTGGGCAGCAGAATTTAAGGATGGCAAAATTTTTGTAATTTAGAAATGTACTAGACAAAAGAATTTAGTACTGGCAGAGATCATACCAAGAGCAAATACAGTGTCTCAAAAAAGTGATGGGACACTTGTGCTTTACAAAAGGAAACTGCAATAAAATTAATTTAAAAAACATGTAAAATTTTTTGTGGGTGTGTTTCATACTTAAATTTAGTAACAATTATTACATACCACACATTTTCTCAAAATATTAAAATGTTAATTTAAAGAAAATACAATTGTTTAGAACGGAGCAAAAAATGGCTCACTTAAGTGATTGGATACTCACGTAAGTGATGGGGCATTTACTTTTCCATCAAATATTTATCAAAAAATTTTACTTTTAAAAGGTTTTAATATTTTTTGTATTTCCTTTTACTTTTAAAATGTGAATTAATCTTCTTGGGATGGATTTGACTCATTTTTTGTGATTTCTGGAGTGATTTTACCCCATTCTTCTTGAAGCACCGATTTTAATTGTGTTTTGAAGAAATGGTGTGTTGCGAATTCTTATTCAATTCTTGCCAAATATCTCTATGGGATTTAAATGTGGAGATGTGGGGGTGTTTTTTATTATTTCAGGACGTTAACAGCGCAAGAGTCTAACGTTCAAAGCACTGTGCTTGGGGTCATTGTCCTGGTAGAATTTAAAATCGTTATGAAGGTTCATTTTAGTGCTGAAGATTTAAATTTTGATTTAAAATGTCATATACTTGTACTGATCCATTATACTGTCAATAAACAAGATTACCAACTCCAGCAGACAACATACACCCCCATACCTCCCACCATGTTTTACTGTTGCACCAAGTTCTGTTTGCGAAATCTTCCTGGGTTTTCTCCACACCAAGATTCTACCGTCAGAACCAAATATTAAATTTACTCTCATCAGCAATATAATTCATTCCAGTAATCAGATTCTATTTATGTTGGATTTTGCGAAAGCCAGTCTGAGTTGTCTATTCTTTTCACTCAAGAAGAATTTTTTCCTGGCTGCTCTACCGTGATATCCAGCATATCTAATTACTCTTATAATAGTCTCAGGATTAACAATTACTCCATATAATGCTTGTAAATCAGACAGCAACTATAGGAGCACTCATTCTTGGAGTTTTTTTTTAATATTTCCAACGATAATTCGCTTTATTCCTTTGGATAGCTTTGATGGTCGGCGAGGTCTTCTGTTTATCCTGAATCATATGATTCTTTTTATATCGTTTAATGATATTGAAAACTGTTGAATGACTGAAGTTAACTGTTTCAATAGTTTTCTAATAGATTTTCCACATTCAATATGCAAATTAATAACTAATTTTGAATTCCAGGCAAAGTTTCTTTTTGTTTAGCATTCATGGCTGCACAGAGCTAAAAAACACACAAAAATTCCAAAACAAACTGGAGAGAAATACTGCAGACAATTTTATAAATTATTGGCAATTGCTTTTGAGTAAAAATAAATACCCCAAAAGATATTTTATTGCTTACTTCAGATGATTTTTGTTGCATAGTACGTGTGTCCCATCACTTAAGTGAGCCATTTTCTGCTTGTTCTCTAAACAATTGTATTTTGTTAAATTAATATTTTAATATTTTGAGAAAAATGTATGTTATGTAATAATTGTTACTAAATTTAAGTATGAAACACACCCACAAAAAATTTTACATGTTTTTTAAATTTATTTTATTGCAGTTTCCTTTTGTAAAGCACAAGTGTCCCATCACTTTTTTGAGACACTGTATATACTGCCAACCCTACTCCCAATAACCACTCAACCAAAAGTGTGATCTTGGCCAACATTAATCAAAACATTGCTACCAGCCACAATACAACTCTCTAGCAAGCATATGTTTGAAAGTGACATGCATGCATCTCGGTTGCTCTGAGGAAAAATCACCTACATTTCGTAAGGGAGAACGAAGAATTATTTCATTATTTTATTTATTTTTGTTTATTTTATTTTTATTTATTTATTTGGCTTATGGTCCAGAGGTTTAGATAATTCTGGACATTGGATGTCCAGATTTCTGACTTTGTACAGTATCTTTGAATGATTGTACTACACTTGCAAATGTTACACAAAAGTTAAAACCAGCTACTCTAAAACACTTACTTCTAATATACCTCGCCTAGGAGCATAAATAACTAAAAAGAAAACACGTCTATTTTTTTTAGAATTTTCCTTTTTGTCCTTCATTATAGAATCGTCAACTTCGACCCAGCCACACTGAGCATCTCTGTAACCTAAATGAAAGACAGAAATTTTTCTTTTTATTAATTATGCTCATCATGAAAATCATGGTTTCTTAACGATAAAAATCAAACAGCAAACAATGTACTAAAAATATGAAAACTATACAATCAACAAGAGTTCATCATAACTAAGCAGACTAACTAATACTACCATATTTACTCAAATATAAGATCTTGAATCTATGTAATACATATAAGATAATACATTCCATGATAATATAAAACATTGCATGGTAAATTTTAAGAAATAAGTAAATGAATACTTATTTTCTATAATTAGTAGATATTTTATAAGATTTATTTTACATAACAAGTAGATGAATATTTATTTCACCTTCTAGTAATTCTGAAAAAAAGAATCTTCGTCCCTCCATTTCTCTTTTTTCATAATTTCATGAAATAAGAGAACCATTGATTGTAGCCCAGGGCATCACTTTTGTTGATGCACTGTTCCCCTACAGAAGCTACCACTTAATGTAAATATATTTATCAATGGCAGTTCTGGAATCCATGGCATTTAACTCATTTCATATGAATGCAACAAAATATACATATGTTCGTTCACAAAATTATTCTTAGTAAAATTCAGTTTATGAATTGTTCACAATGTCTTTCATCCCAATACTTCATTTATGAAATGTTAAAAATATTTCTGGGAATTATTTGACTAATGCTTTACCCCTAGGCAGCCCTCATTCATTGGAAAGAACATGTGAATGCAACATTTGAAAATAAGGGAAAAAGTCACTTTAGTTTGGCATAGATATTTTCGGGGGAATTTTTTCTCTTCTTTTTTTCAGGGGGGAGGGAGAAATTCTGCAGAAATCTTTGTGCTCCTGAAGAGGAAAGATCGAAATCAGCTCATCCTCAAAATTGCTAGAATTGTTCAAAATCTAATCCATACTAGGGCTACCATTTTGGCAAATAAATTTTAAATGATTAATTAAAATAGAAAACAAGCTGTTTGGCAACACATTCTCTTACTTGGTAATATTTTTCTCTCACTTGGCAATTTTTGTATCTATTTTGACCTCATTTGGAGACTTACTTCAGTTAACACAATTTATTCTATAATGCTTTGGCAATATTCACAAAATAGTTGATCACAACAATTGATGTATTTACCATATATAAACAGGCAGAACTTCGAAAATTCAATAACAGTATTCAAAAGATAACATATACATTGAGTCTACTGTATTTGTTTTCAGGCATATCAGTGATCATAACAGTAGATGGAGGCCTAAACAGAAGTTGCTCCGCTAGATGTAACCAGAGCCATAGTTAGGGTTCCCTGGCGACAACTGAAGATTTTGCGCCGCTTCTGTGTGGCAAGAAAGAAAATATTTCATTCTAAAATTTTGTAACATCAATTTGATGCCCTTAGGATGCTGCCCCCGAGGACAGATGTTCCCCGTTGCCACATCCTAGCTACATTGCTGGATGTAACTATTATAATTGGCACCAGCTGTGTATTCTATACATATGCACATACATGCCATATTTACTCACATATTTAATTTAAAAAGGATACAGTTACAATAAAAACACAACAACTTTTAAAAATACTCATGCAAAAACTACTGGTAACTAACACAATATTGTTTCTTTAAAAGAACCTCGATTCCAATTAGAACACACAATAATATTAACATAGTATTGTCTGATAAAATACAGTCAAAAGTCGTTAATTCGAACACCCATAATCCGGAATGATCTATAATCCGGACCTCAAGCTAAAAACTTTCTGGGCATCCGCCACGTTGACACATGCGCATGGGCATTTACGTGTGCGCGTAAGACCTTTACGACGGAGCATATGCGTGTGCACAAGCGCAGAATACATTTTCACGTGCACGTTTAATGTATGCGCCCCTTTTTTTCCAAAACTTATGCTAATTATCTAATTTCAGTTAATGTTGATGATTGCATTGTTCCTTAATCTTCGAATTGGATCGGTTTATTATTTTTGCAGACTGTAAGAGCAATTTTATAAAAGTAAACTTGAACTTTCGATTAGTCAAATAGAATTTCCGATGCTGGGCTCCCAAAGGATCTACAAAATGAAAGTCTGTTCGATGTCCATCAAACAAAAAGTGGAATTTTGCAAAAAATGGATAAAAAGACATGAAGAAGGTGACAAAGAGGTTAGCGGAAAACGAAAAAATTTCGATTGACAAGTTAGTCGGTATTCTCGGCACACAATTACGGGATTGAACAGCAGAACTTTGAACTGAACAAGAAATTATGTCTGTTATAGAATTAAAGAGAAAGTATTATCACATAAAACGAAGCAACTTAAACAACTTACATTGAAAGAAATTTTTAATAAAGTAAACAATAAATATTAAGCTTTTTTTTTTTTTTTTTTTGTAAATTTTGATATCCTTTAGATCATAATTGTTCTTTATTTCATAAATTACGGTTTCATATTTTTAATTTTATAATTTCTGTATGCCATCTTACCAGATTTAAACTGATGATCTATAATCCGGAATCGCCGAAGTCCCAACGAGTCCGGATTAACGACTTCACACTGTAGTATAATTTCTACTTCCCAGCATGCTGAATTTCACCTCCTCTTATTGTAGTCCACTGCTAAGTTATAAGAGGTGTTGGATGTGCTACCTGTATCCTCTGCTACAGTTTCAGATAATTGTCACCTTATCTGTTGTCAATGTCTTTGTAATGATTCAGTCTGTCTCCCCATGTGCAATCAATGATCTTCAGAACCATCAAGAACATTATATACCTTCAATTACTTGAAAATCTTCACAATTATTGCTCCACAGATCAAACACCATGCATGCAAATTCCATAAGTAAATTAATAAATAAGACCAAAAACAATCGGTATTTGGTTGAATACATTTTAAAATTTAGGATAGCTAGCTTAATTTCTGAACTTCTTGATGAAGAGGAAAAATTACGTGAAAACTTACAAGAATTTCAGAACCTTGTACTAGGGGAAAATTATGCAAGTAAATAACTATGCGGTAATTAATAATGTAATTTAGTATTTAAACACCATAATTTACATAGTATTTAACCACCGTAATTTACATAGTACGTTTTACATAGTATGATAATTAAAATCTTTTCTGTTATTCTAAAATTTATTTATCATCCATTTATCAAAATACCCAGTTATAAAAGACTCACTAGCAGCCAAGTGGTAAAGCTGCTGAACACTGGTAATTTGACCTGGTTTCGATTCAAGGCAAACAGGCTGGCTGCATGGCTGTTTTTGTATCTTTCTCCACATGGTACATGGATATGAGCCAGTTTCCCCCTTAGCCAGATAGCTCTAGAAAGCTTTGCCGTAGTCAAATAAATCAAACGAACCCAATTAAATAACCCTACCAAATTTTACAACAAAAATATAGAGAGTCTAATTTTCGAATAAATACAGTAGTTTAATTTAAATAGATTTTCATAGAATAAGACAATACAATGTTAAAATAATTTGTGAAATTCAATCACCTTATAAGGTATTTCTTCCACCTTCTTAGCATGCCTTCATGGTGTAATGGTCAGCATGATCAGTGCATATTCGAGAGACCCCTGGTTCAAGTCCTGGTGAGGGAAGTGCTCATTTTTCATGTCTCCTGCTTCGAAATAACCTAATGTCTCTACAGTGGCGCCCAAACTAAAAAAGGTGATGGATGATGATTCTCCACCACTAGGATTTGGCAACTGGGTCCCCTAATCCCCAGTCGCCCTTTAAAAGAGGAAGCAATAAAGTATTTCTCTCGCCTTCTTAGCATGCCTTCGTGGTGTAGTGGTCAGCAAACTCAGCACATATTTGAAAGGTCCGTGGTTCGAGTCCTGGTGAGGGAATTGCTCATTTTTCATCTCTCCTGCTTTAAAAAAAATACCTAATGTTTCTACAAACTGGGAGCAAGCAGCAGCAACACTTTTTTTTATTATGCCTTTTTATTCCGCTAAAATTTTGGAATGAAAATAATGAATATTAATTAGATTATGATCATGAGTGCATTTGTAAGGAGGAATTCCTCATTAAGAAGTATTTCAGAGTTTTATTTCCATCATTACTAGGGAAATCAACACAGGAATGTGGAAGAGCACTCCTTTCAAATTTTTGCTGTTTATTCAAAAATACAATCTCCATAACATAGTTCCAGTTACTGTAATGCTACTGTGAACTTTCTTCTTCATTGCTGTAAGTAATGCTAGTTGTGAGAAGTGTTTTCTAAATAAAAATTGTTTAAGAAGTATTTAAAAACTGCAAATGCATGTTTTTCATTAAAAAAACATTTCTGTATTGTCTACATAACAGCAAGAGCAATCAAACAGATCTCTACCAGTCACTGATGTTTTGCAAACAAACAAAATAATAATATAGTTTTAAAATGCTGGAATTATTTTTTTTTCAATAATAATTGTATGGTTTTTATTCATTTCACTACATGTAGTTTGAACATTTTTAAAGTTTACAATTTTCACTGCTGAATTGTATGTAGAGTGAGTGCGGGAACATCTGTCCCACTTCAAAATTTGCTTTAACTGGGGGAAAAAGTCCCAGTTCCTCCTGCATTTTTATGATATTAGGTTCTCTTTTCTTTATAGCATTCTTGTTTCGTTATTTTACTGACATTTTATTACAATATACTAATTTTTGTAGTGTTCAGAGTGTATTACTGTTGTCCACCTTTTGAACATTAGTTCATTTATAAATTTCCAAAAATTTTTGCTTGAAAAATATAAATATGCAACAAACCTTTCCACATGCGAACTGCTACCCCCTTAAAAATGTCGAACAAAATGACTCTCCCAAATGCATCAGTTACAGCAGCTAAACATTTATTAGGCGATAATGATATTGAAATTCCTTGCCTTCTTTTATCATATAAACCAAACCTTTAAAAAAAAATAATTTAGTTGAAGATTATAAAGCATAAAATTTGAAACAAATACACAGATTGAAATTGCACTTAAAAACTTACCTCAAAGGTAAAATAGTAGCAGGTTCAATTTTTGGTTGAGTTTTTTGGTCTTTTGGTTGATTAAAACCCATTAAGCCTCCTACAAGGCCACTGTATAAATATAATAATTAATAAAGCTTTAATAAATAAAATGCAAATAATAGAATCCGAGATGAAGAAATAATAATATGAATTAAGTTTTCATCTGAAAATACTTATCATGCATAAATATATTTGAAAAACAGTTCTAAAAAAGTAATCATGTTCTATGGCTTATTGTATAAATAAAATCTCATTAATAAATTTTCTTTAGTTATTTCCTTCTGTTAGCATAGTTACAATGACCTACAACAATTCTATCCCAAAATATTGTTCAATTCTTCAGCCATATGGAGCTATGAACTGTAAAACTCTTAAAAACTAAAGAACTAAATTATACATTTAGCATTTAGTTTATAAAATGTAATATAATGTCATAAATGAATGGACAGATTCCTCCCCCCTTCTAGTAACCTAACATCAAATAAAATATACCAACATAAAAACAGAAAAAACTCAATGTTTTCAGAACATTGTTTTGAAATATTAAGGATGTATTAATTGTGATGTACACAGTGTTTATAGCATGAATGAAGAAATTTTGAAAAGGAAGCTAATTAAATATTTACTATAAATAATTTATTCTTTGCCCATTTTTAGACCTTCTTGATTAAAATTATATGTGTAATTTTTATTGCATTAAATTTTTATCATGTCTCAATTTTATAATGCTTATTTCCATGCTTTAATTAATACATTCTATTTTAAATGCATAATTAGGTAACCCAAAATTAATAAACTTACACAAAAATTATAATTACATTTAACTAAATTTGCATTAAAGGGTATTGCTTTAAGTATTTCTTTTTCAGAAAATAATTCTTTTACTTCTGTTACATTTTTTTATGTCTGTTCAATCTCTCCATGCTGCTTTCCAAGGCTTAAAATTATCTTGGTCATTTTTAACATTAAAATTAAAATTTTTAATGATATATGCTGGTTTCTGTTTTTTTCCCCTTTTGAATAAAATTTTCAAAATTTTAGAACATTAAAAAAAGAGACTTATGGGATAAGAATAGGAAATAATCATTTACAAAAATAAAATTTTTTATTAAAATACTTTATTACTTATTAACATAACTATATATTCTCTGAAAATGTTTGTAGAATAAATAGAATATGGGGTGCATATAAACCTGCACAGTTACAGAAGGTATTGCTTAAACTGATGACATTTGTCAATGGCAATATTAACCAATTGGTAACATTAAATGATGAGAAAAATATGGAATTCAATTAATGTAATACAAAAATGTCAAAAAACATATAAATAGGTATTTTCACAGCATTTTCAGTAAATGCAAAAGTTTGTTTATGAATTGTTTGTGATGTCTTTAATGCAAATGTTTGCTTATTCATAATGTTTCAACATTGTTCATAATATTTCTGAAGATTAGTTGGCCAATGCTCTAATATTCAGAGAGCATACTTCATGTAAAGAGAACATGCCAATGTAAAATTTTAATTTAACTCTTTCGCATCGAAGTCGCCCAAAGCGCCTGAGCATTCAGACATCGGCTGGACGCCCGAAACGCCTGAATAATTTCCTACCCAGTGCTTTCCCATACATTACTGCATTACTCATTGCTTTCAGGTGTTGTTAAAATCAGAGTCAATCATTCTTTGAAGCTATAAAAGTAGCTTCCTTATTTCCTTTCCTTCCTTCTTTGTTTACTGTCAGTGTTTAGCTTTTGAGCCCGAAGTTGCAATCCCGTCCCAAGGGGAATTCATGCAGTGTCAAAGCGTAAGAAGAGAAGTTCTCGCTTTACTTAAGTAAGGCTATTGTTAGCGCTGTTACTATTCAACTTGTCATGGGGAAGAAAAGCATTCCAGGAGAAATTCTTAGATACGGGCTTTCGATGTTTGGGGAATTGAAATTTTGCCCCTCGATGCGAAAGAGTTAGAAAAAAACAGTTTAATTGTTAGTCAAGGGGCTTTTCCCTGAAGGACTATGCTTTATTTGCGATTTTGCGTTGAATCATATAAATGTCCATTCATTTTCAAAATGTGCCACAAAATGTTAGAGTCCTGCATTATATTTGAAGAAATAAATAATGAAAATCGGCATATGTATGTATATTTCTCACATTGTGATAAAACAACGGTAAACAGAGCCATCGAATTAAGGCATCAATTTTGAATGACGTAATCTTACTGCGAATATGGGCATGTGGAAGCCTAAATTTGAAATTTGGAATTTGTTTTATTATCGATTTTATTTTGTAAAACTTTAACGAATTTTTGAGTAACAAACTTAAAGATTTAAAAGCGAGCAATGGCAACACTCTATGGCGGGGGGGGGGAACCTTTTTATCTCCAGCGGGATCTGTGCATCGGAATCACAGATCACTTTCTGTGTATCGGAAATTCAAAAGATATGGTCATTTAAAAATTATTTTGCGACATTGCTACTGAACTGAATTTTGGTTTAAGTGCAAAGAACACGATATTTAATAAATTAATGTAACACGCAAAACGTTAAAAAAAGTCCCTTTGGACGTAATTTTAAATCTGAAACCTTTCAGATTTTTTTTTGGGGGGGGGCTTGTTTATGTTTAGTTTGTTTTTGATGTTCTTGGAGAATATACTTTTTTTTTTTTTTTTCCTCCAAAAGAAAAGAAAACAATTCTGCAGAATTTTCTTACTCCTGAAGAAGAAAGACTTGTGTCTGATCGCCCTCAAAATCAACAGTGTTATTTAAACTTCATATCAGACCAAGGTTGCTTTTGCTTAATTTTAAGTGGCTGACTGAAATTAAAACCAAGATGTTTAGCGACTTAACCCCTAATATGGCAATTTTTATAATCTATTCTGAACTTATTTGGTGACACTAATTTTAAAAAACTTTTTTCTGTTACAATTTGAGTCTATTAGAAGAACTGTTGATCCCAATAAGCGATTATTTTCCATTTTGTATACTAATGGACAGGACTTCCAAAAGTAGATAACAATATCTGAATGAAAACATTAAGTGCGATCACAGTGAGTGGCTTCTCATGTAGTAGTACAGAGAGAGTTAAATGACAATGGCCACTCTACTCACTAGATTCTAGTATGACTGGCTTGCAAATGATGTTCCAATTAATCTGCAGATATTCTGTGGAATTAAGATCAGGTCTCTGAGCAAACCAGTCCATTACCACAACATGCATATCAGAACATCACGTTAATACCATATGGATTGGAACTCACTTGTGATGAAAGTGGAATGGCCTCCTACAAAAGTACTGCTACAAAGTACACAGCATTGAACTATCTGAAAAGGGATTACCAATGGGGGTCGATATTCATCCCCTGGAAATCGATGAAATTTTAAAGGGGCCAATAGCCGAATATGTACCAGATGATTTGCATAATCAAGATCCCATATGATTATTAAAAAAAATTAACAAAATTGATAATTGTTCATTGATACACACTGGGCATGACTTAACGTTATCACACTTGTACATGGTTATTTTGATAAGATTAAATGATGAGGAAAAATATTCTTCAGCTCAAATTATTCAACATAGTGGAAAATGTGAAAGTTCATTATGGACTATTTATTAACATTTCTAGAAATTTGCTTAATGTTCTATTTTTAATATTAATACTTGGACAGTATTACTTATTGGAAGAGAACATGCAAATGTAAAAATCAAAATTAAAGACAAAATCAACCTTAATCTGTTTTGAGTTTACTTGGTGACTTCACTTTTTATTTGAACACTTTATTTCAGTTTTAAAACCTTTTTTCTGTAATAGTTTGATCATATTAACTTAATTGTTGATCACAATAAGCAATGTAGTAACTTTCTATGTTTTAATATGCTATCGGGTGGGGCTTCGGTCATTCTATATCAATATCCAAAAATAATATTAATTGCTATCACTTCAACTGGTATCTACTGTAACAGCAACATCATGCAGTAAGAAAAAATCCTAAAGAGACATATATAGAGGAAAAATACACTAAACTACTTGGCATTAGCCTTAACTATTTTTAGATTATTTGAGTTAGATAGTGATATTTTATGCTTAAAGCCCAATGGGACGGTATAAAGTGGATGGCTGATTCAGAGAATCTAATGTAAAATGTACAGATAATTCTGTACTAATTTCTTTCCTCCAAAAAATTGGCACAATACTTAAACTATTAATAGTTTAAATTTCTTTGATGGCCAATTTTACTACTTTTTAACAAATCGGGCCTTTTGTTTTTCATAGTAGCTTGATCGCCCGCTAGCTTGAAGAATTACGACTTTGTGTACAAAATGACTGTTTTTTCCTTTACTCTTACTTTATGGCCATGTTAAGTAGTTTAGCTGAATTAGCCATTTTCACTTTCAGTAACAATTTTTTCTTCAACAACTTGACTGACGCCATTTTGAAATCTTCCACATTTTTCCGAGCTTTCCAACCCCCTTCGAAAATTAGAGACGAGTTACAGCTAACGGACAGTCTTTCGTATGGCTGATGCACCAAAAGAACATGGCTTCCCCTACTTACGTCACACGACGAGTGGGATGACGCTTGAAGTACACAGAAGGGAATTACAACCCTTTCAACTTAGTTTAAGAGGGAGAGCTTGCATCGCCACAGGTCAGTTTTTCTTTCTTTTACAACTTTTTTCATGTGGTCACACACAGTGGTCTTAAGAACAGTGGTAACACAGTGGTTTAGCAAGAACCACTGTGTTTGTTCATTTAAATTTTCATTTAAATTTAATTACAGATTTCTAAATTTATAAGTATAAATCTTTAAGCTGCAGGTCCAGCCCGTGTGTATTGTATATTTAGGACTAATAGCAGACCGCTATTTATTTTATTTTTATTATTTCTTGATTTTTGAGTAATCGGAATAGTTTTTACATATTTTAACCTTAATGTGTCATTTTGTGCGGACGCGTCGGGAAATTGGAAACAGAGAACTAATAAATTTCCAAGACACTTTGTCTAATTAAAAAATTTGTAGAGAAAAAGTTTCAATGTCGTTTCGGCGAAAACACGTAATGGAGTTAGCTTGATTCG